ATGATAAGGTTTAAAAGAAATATTTTTGAAATTTGAAAATGAATATATATTTTTTAAATAATTTTGTGAAAAAAAAAATATTTAAAATAATTCCTGAAAAAATAAAAATACGTTAAAAATAAATAAATTTTTAAAACATTTTGTGAAAAAATAAATTTAAAGAAGATTTAAAAAAAAATATTTTAAACAAGTTTTTGAAAAAAAATATTATTTTGAGTCAGTTCTGAAAAAAACAAAAATATTTTAAATAGTTTCTGAAAAAGTAAATACTTTTAAAGCAATTTTTCAAAAATAAAAAAAGAATAATGAATGAATATTGGATATGCAATTTGTACTCAGCCTTATACCAGAAGTTAATCTGCTTTTCAGTAAGCTCTAAATTTTATTATATTTTTTACAAAAAAATTTATTCATTTCACAAATATATGCCATAAAATAAACACAACGCCATATTTTTGAGAAATAAAATGCAAAGAAACAAAAAAAATTAAAGACAAAATAGATCAAAAATAAGTAAAAAAACGTAAGAAAAGCTTTCACAATAAAATGTATAATAATATTTTAATTAAAATACGTAATAATATTTTACTTAAGTTAAAAGAAAAACACTTCAAATAAGAAAAGGTCGACTTTGTTCCCAAAAACTAAAAGCAAACTCGAAAGTCTAACCAAAAACAGCAACAAAAATGAACAATGTATTAATTATGTATGTATGTATAAAAATTAATTATAATTATTTATAAAACAGCTTACTCACAATTATAAAAAAAATATATAAAAAGCAAAAAAAATACACACAATTAACAGTACACAGCTGCATACAAATATATAAACCATAACAATAACGGAAATACACAGTATAGAATTAAAAGTAAAATTATAAATAGAAAAATAAAAAAAATTTAAACATATTTTAATAAAGGGTTTTCCAACATAAACCGCAGCCATTTAAACAAGTAACTAATAACGAAAAAAATAGTAGGCGTAATTTTAAGATTTCTATAAAATTTCTAATTACAAATGAGTTGTTTTCATTGGGAGAAGCAAAAATATTAACCAAAACAAATAAAAATGCATGTCAGCTGAGCGTCAATAATTATTCTCTCTTTTGTGAGAGTAACAGGCGTGCGACTCATTTGTAATGCTCCCTAGTTTTTCAATTAATTATTCAAATACAAACAAAAACCAAATGCTGAAAAATATGTAGCGATGATTTGTAAAACAACTTCAAACGAATACAGTAAGACACACAGACATAAAAGCTTATTAATTAGTAAAGAGAATAAAATTAATATATTTGAGCATAACTCGAAACTAAAATATTTAAGTAAACACCATAATAAAGTCACTTCTTAATACAAAAAAAAAAAATTTAATTAATCAATATTAAAGCATTTCCAAACGCCTTTGCAACTAATCTAAACTTTAACTAGTACTTACTAAACGAAAAAAAAAACTTTTCATAAATCACCATATTTAAAGAAAATACGAAAATACTAAAAAACAAAATGCTAAATGAAGCTTCTTTCCCATACACGAGACACCAACGCTGTATACTACACTTTAATTTCTCTTTGCGCGCCTAAAAGTAGACCATAATTGTAGCCAATTTATTTCAGTCCCACTTATCTCTGAAGAAATCTAAAAAAATGGGGGAAAGACCGACTTACTTTTTTTAAAAATGCGTTAGCTATCAAATTTCATGTCTCATAAGCAAAAAAGCTTCGCGCTCTTATATTTTTTAATCACTCTCGAGCACTTGGCAAATCCTGCGCAACAACTTATTCCATACAAGAATTGACACAGAGATCTCAAAGTTTCTTTCAGTTTAGACACCGAACCTTCATTCTGAACCTTTTAGCAAATTTTTGTCCTATTTTAAAACAGCATAAGTCGAATTTTTATCTTAGTAAAGTAATGAAAGCTTTCTGTGTATCTACCAGAGCATTTTACACCGACTTCATGGACTTTCGAATATAGTTTACGATATTGATTAGCTGAAATATGAAAAATTATTCTTGTATTTTTTCACTAATTTCCAGAATATTGGTGTGGTGTAGTGAAAGCTCTGAAAGCGGAAAACTGTGTTTAGAAAATCTTTAGCTTTATTCAACTATAAATTTTTATTATAAATAATAAAAACTGTAAATATTGAAAAAAATAATGATTATAAAAATTATTTTCATTAGGCTTCCAAAATTTTTAGAGCTTTTATAGTGCATAAGCTTCGTTAAAACTTTGAAGTTTAGGGAGCTTTTATACCTTTTGATTACATGAAAATTCATAAGCTTGGGCGTTCGCTGCTTTTGGAGCTTTTGATGTACTTAATCACCAAGTTGATGGAGGTTCGCAGGAATTCACGGATTTTTTTAAAACTTGTTTCAAAAAAAATTCCGAAACGATGTCAGCGTAGATATGGCCGAATTAAATTAGTGTTTTCTCCTTATAGTCAACTTTTAGGTCGTCGCTTTTATTACAACTCACAAAAAAAATCAAATACACCAAAAAGATATAAAAAAAATATTGGAGAATAAATAATAGGCCAAAAAATCAATTGTAGGTTTTATTAAAAAAAATAATAATAATTAATAAAATAATATCAAATTTGTAACTTTTAAAGAACTTAGCAATTTTGAACGAAAGCACTTGGCCTCTTGCTTTTCCTAAGCTCTCGCTCTCTCTCTCTCTTTCGATTTCTCCCTGCTTACTTATTTCTACTGCGCTCTTTCAACTACTTTGCTCTGGAAATTGTCTAGTACTAGACTTGTTAAATATATATTCAAAAAATAACAGTAATAATAATTGCAAAAATAATAATAATTACAACAAAAATAATTATAATACCGTAGAAACGCGTTGCTTCTTTTTGTAAACTAAGAATTAGTTTAAAAAATTAGAACGAAAAAAAGCAAAAACAATAATTACTTAAAGACTAAAATCCTTTTAGTTTTGAAAAACAAAAAATTATATATATACATATGTATTTAACAAAACTGTATTTTGAATTCACACAAACGTTTAACAATACAAATACATACGTACTTATATTTCAAATAGTATTTCCAGAAAGCGTTCCCGGGCGTTTTCCTGCAACTAATTAATTACAGTTATCGATTTGAATAACCTAAACTCAAATAAATAATATAATTACAATACAAATATACACATATACATACATACATACAAATAAACATATTGCATGTATGTACAGGCCTCTTCGATTCTTATGTACCACAGATATTTAACGGTATTTGCAACTGTTTGTGTGTAAATGATGCTTGTATAGGAAGCAAACACAGGCAAACAAATCGAATATCGACACCAACAAAAACAAGTAAAAAGTAAAAAGTTTAATATTGCTAATTATACAAAACATACATACATACGTAAATGAACGAATATATATACACACATATATATGTATATTAATAAAAATAAATAAATAGAAAAGTATGTATGTAAGTACAAGTGCTACATAGCATTATGTAAATGCATATATTTAATTAACAAATACAAAGTAATGATTACATGTAGTGATTACTATGGCGAGTGCATATGAACATTTTAACTGAAGCAATGAGCATAAGAAGCATAAGAACTGTATAACAACAAGAACAACAACAGCGACAGATGTAATGACAGCAAAACGTTGAAATCAATAACCATTACACAATTACAATTACAGTTACTCAAAATTAAGCATTATTTATTAATTAGAAATTTTAATTAATTGAACAAATAAACAATGAAGATTTTGAACTAAGAAACGAATTGCGTACTTTTTAATAAACATGTGGAGAATTAGGGGGAAATAGAATTAGTTAAACGACGATTTCGATAAACTGTGTAATTAGGGCTTGTATGATATTTAAGGGGCACAGCTGGTTGTCACAAGAAAAGCTCCTAAAAATAGGCGATTTTTAGGAATAAAAAACAAAAAATTTATGGCATTTATTTTAAAATTTTAATACATATTTATACATATTTTACGAAAATCCGTAAAATTATGGAAAAAAAAGATTACATATTTTTCGAGTTATACGCGAACTCTGAGAAGTTCCTCCACTGCTGTAGTGATTCCAGTGTGCTCTGTGAAATAAACCTTAAAAAAACCGGTATTGCAAGATATTGTTCGTAGAATAACCTAAGCACCTTCGTTAAAAAATCATTTTTTTTAAATTTTTTTTTTAATGTTTTTTTTTTTTAATTTTGTTTTTTAATATTTTTTTTTAAATTTTGTTTTTTAATATTTAAAGTTTTTTTTTGCAATTTTTGTTTTAAATTTTGAATGAAAATATTTTTAGTTTTTGGCTTTTGTCTCCGAATCACTCCAGCAAATTTGAAACTTTTGAGCTTGAGCTGAGCTTTAACTCAAAAACTACATATGTATGTGAGATATCGAATACTGCTATGTTATTTCTACAGGTGTAACCTATCGAAATATAAATAAATCGATTAGTTAATCATACCGGATGTGCCCTTTAAGAACTGGAAAGCAGTATAAAAAGCTCCGCATGAATCCAGCAACTGTTCTGTACTGGCTTAAAGAAGCTGCCTTTGATAGAAATGTTTACTGTTGCCATAGATTTGACAAAAAATTTTCTATAATTTTCACAAATATGCGAGAAAAATTGGAGTGGAATTTTTTTCTCTGTGCCAATATTTGCTGATTTAAAAATTATATACTAAATTTTGCTAATCCTTACGTTGTTGAATTTTCTTTTAAAGAGTTATAATTTGAGAACTAAGTTATTATTTAAAGCATATTACCCTAGTTCGTGTTGCTTTATAACTGAAAAACTTATGAAATTTGCTGTTAGGGATTTAAAGTTTAAAATCTTTGATAAATTCCGTTACTCCAACATCAATATTTACTGGTTCGCGGTTTTTTGACTGAAGCGACACCTAGATGTGGAATATTTCAACATACGACAGTTTGAGAGCTGCTATAATACATTTTATATGTTTACCTAGGCTTTCAAATATTAACGCCAAAATAACAAAAGGATAACAAATCAAAATTTTATTCGTTAGCAAAACAGAAATTTTTAAAAAATTATATTTAAAATTTTTTGTCAGTTTGTAAAACTCTGCTACTAGGATACATAAATTGCTAAATACAATATTAGGACAGCTGAATTTGACTACTATCAATGTAATCTGATAACTTGACCGCTTGATCTTTTCAGTAATTAGGAAGGTCAAGCGCTAGAAATTTTCTAAAAGGATGGTGCAGTAAGTAAAATAGCGGTGTTTGGAAAAAAAGGAAGCACACACCGTTCGCAAAAGCGTGACGTGTGTACCAAGCAAAGTGAAGCGCTGGTAAGATTAGATGGGTGATTATTGGTGGTGATAATGGAAACATATACAAGTAGAATCTACTTGGTCATGGAGTTCATAAATTACCTAAATATTATATATAACGAGGTTTGTCGTTAAGTACACCTAGAATGCGGTCAGCAAGATATATTGTACATATATCTCATATCCACTGCATTTGAAACTGCCGTATTATAACTTAGAGAAGATCGTAATATGATATTTATGAAGGTATTACAGAATTCAGTATTTTTTGTATTATATCTATATATGGGTGTGTGTATCTTATAGACTCCGAAACCATTAAACCGATTTTGCTGAATTTTTTAAGACAGCCTGTAAAGTTCCAGCTTGCTAGATGTCTCTGTTAACATGATAAAAAAATTTAAAATAAAAGCTAAGCTTTATATTTAAATTTAATTAGATGGCGAGTAAAAAGCTTTCTTATTTTATAATTTTAGTAAAAAAAAAAAACCCAAAAGCTATTTTACATCATAGTCAGGTATTGGTTGAAGTATCGAAGTTATATAATGGAAGTATTCCTACAAACAGCATTTTATGAATTGTTTCAGGTTTCTGAAGAGAGAGAAAGTAGTTGCTGGAAGCCAAATCTGATGAATATGGTGGATGGCTTGTGACTTCACCTGCTTTGGCGCTAAACAACCAGCTTCCGTACACTGTAAACGTTCTTGTTTCAATTTAGGATGATAGTACCAAGTCTCATCCATAGTTAAAAAACGACGCAAGAAATCGATTTTATTCCACTTAAAACGCCCCAAATTATGCTGAGAAATTTGTTTTCGATTCAGTTTTTGTTGAATTTAACGTGTGCGGCACTAACTTTCCAAACAGCTTTTTTCATATGTAATTCACCATGTTAAATATATATGAAGTACTCGTTCGTCTGAGATGCCTACAGCAATTTCACGCTTAGTCAAACTTGGATCTTCACTAACAATAATATAATATTATGAACTTGTTCAATGATTTCTGATGTGTTTGCGGTTTTTGGTCGTCCTTCGCGTGGATCGTCTTCAAGCCTAGTACGACCACGTTTGAACTTAAACCAGCCCAAAATTCAACGGTGTGTTTTGAAGGTGAGGACTCCTTATACACATCTAACAAGTGTTCATAAATTTTCTTCACTTTTAAGCCTTTCAAAACAAAGAGTCTAATCACTGCGCGTTATTCAATTTTTTCCATATTAAAAAAATACTCTGACACGTCAACTTGAAATGGCTTGTAAACAAAGACTTAATTGACAGAATGAGTTGTAACTTTGCATGTGTTCTCACAGAGAGAGAATAAAAATTTAGAGGTAGTATCGTTATTTCTTGGCGAGAGCAGAAAATTTTTAGCCAACCAGTATGAGAATATTGTTATCTGTGGTAAGTGTTTGAAGGTACTGTCAGTAAGTATAATTTGTTTGTGATATTACACTTTTTTATGATTACAACAACTATTGCATCCTGTAATGGAATTTTAATAATTCTTTAGTGTTACGATTTTTTATATAAAAACTGCCTTTCCCTCCTTCCCAAGAAAACCCTTAACCAAACCTAAAGTGAGTTTCTGATTAATTAGCCCGCTACTACTACACTGCCGTCACGCTTAGAGTTGCATAAGCCCAGCTAAAGTCTAAGCAATGCTTCCTCGAATATTCGATCTTCCATGTAGTGGCCCAAAATTGAGACGCGTGCGCTGAGTCGTCTTGGTGACGCCTTCAACTTCGTCGCGCCTCTCTTAATTACTGTGTCATTATCAAAAACACGTGGTGCAATTATATGAAACACACACAGACATGCTGTTGCACATAATAAACGACACACTGTTGCACATAAATCTAGAAATTATGAAAATGAAAATTAGTTTTCCACGCATCGGCGACAAACACAATTGAGCGGCACCGCAGCGACAGCGACAAATAAACAAACAAACCGAACGCCCTAGCCAAAACCAGCACCCACCTTACTCCACCGCGACAATTGTCTCCACGACTGAAATTGCATCTACACACGTGATAATTTAGAGCAGATTGTCGCCGTGGCGTTTAAATTTAGTTGCAAGATCGTTTTGTGGCAATGTCGGCGTCGGGGTGGAATCAGCTACGAGCGCTGAGCGTGTGTGGACGTGTGCGTTTGCTGCTCGAGCATTTGCTTTCAATTACGCACTTCAGCTGTGATGATTTATTTTTGGTTCCCGTCAGCCAAAATGTCAACCGAACGGAAGACACAAGCGATGCTAAGGTAGACAGTAGCCAACTCAGCTGACGAGTTGTCTTTTCGGTATTGTAGGTGAGCGGGTGGTGGTGGCGACATAAGCAGTGGTACGATTTAAATGAACGGCGTGTACTCAATCATAATTATGTGATTTGTTAGAGCGCTATTTGTGCATGAAAGTCGGGCAGGAAAGCTGTGCCGCAGGTATTTAAAGAATGCTATAATTTTTTTAAATGTAGGAAGGGAAAAAATTTGTTTTTCCACAAGAGAAATATAATTTATCGATGTTAAAAAATGCGTATTTAGGGAGCAGAGTCGAACTTGCTTAGGCGCCGGTTAAGCATTTTTTATCGAGATTTATTTAGGTGAAATCAGTGAATATCTTATAATATGTTTGCTTCTTTAGGTTATAAAAAATGGTAATTTCGACTTTTTCACTTTGCGAAATACAGTCAATATTTAATCAAATTCCTAACAATTTACTTAACAAAAAGAAGTAGTACGGTGCCAAGTCTAGCAGTTTGTAGTTCGTAGCCTTATTTGACCACAGTGGCCGTAGCGACTGTGGAGGTGTAAGTCGTAATGTTGTCATGGTGGATGAGCACTTTTTTCATTGCCAAATGGAATCGTTTACTAGGCGTCGACTTGCCCTTTTAACTTGGCTTAGTAGAGCTTTAGAAGCTCTTTCGAATTGCGTTTATTAGCTCTGTTATGAAGTGGCCTCACGGTTACGCCTATTGTGCGTGGTGAATAAATGTGTTGCCCTGTTAGCTGATAGCTTTCTCATGACTATTTTATGCAGCATATGCTCCATGCCTTCTTTTGACAATCTTATTGTCTTAGCGATATCGATTTCGTGAAATTTTGTCACGTTATCCACTGTTGTAGTTGTTTTCGGAGCACCTGGGAATGGCTCATCAAAAACCGACATTTGACCACGTTGAAACTAGCAAAACTACTGTTAAAGGTTGCATCGAAGGGAAAAGAATCAGCGAAGGCAGCATTCAAGATTTAGTTTTACGCCGCGATTTTTCGCTATGATCATAATAAATCATCAATCGATAACGATCTTTTTCCATTTTTCTCAAAAACAAGGAAACGAACTGTTTCACATGCGCTCAAAACAGTACTACGAGTCCGATTCGTCTGAAATTTTACCAGTAGCCGTTTACGAGAATATACTACATGAGTGATAATGCGGCTGGCGGCGTATGAGGCTTATCGGTCTTCCTCGTACGTACATATGTATATATGCATTTATTTTCAAGAAAATATTTCAATCTTTTCCTACTGGGTCCCATATTTTGTTCATTTACTCTACTAATTTTAGTATCAATCACCCAAAGGAGTCAAAGAGAGCCGAGCGACGAACTAATTAAATCGCATGTACACACTCACCCACACAAATACACATCTGCAGAGGTGCACCTAGTCAAATTGACGAATTATCAGTCGGAAGATGAGAGAAAATTATGACATTCAGATTTTTATTTGCCGTTCATCAAAATGATTTACACGAATTTTAATTGCTTGACGTGTGTGTGAGCGGCTTGACATGAGTGGAAGTGCTGTCGCAGCATTAATATATAAATACATACATACATACAAGTTGAAAAGCATTTAAATAGACATAAGCTGGGAAGTGGGAGCATCATATGTTGAAAAATTGGGCAGTGACGCCTCTTAGACTAATTAAAAGCGGACAACACACACACATGCACATATTACTTTCGGGTAATATATGGTATATGGAATATCTGTACAGCGAAAGGGGTGAGCTACAGCGGCCTGCATCCATCGATTGTCTTGAATCAAGACTGTTGAAGTGCCACCATTTGAAGTTTATGACATTTTCGAAGTGATTTCTGAATATTTATATAAACATACATATATATTAGGGTGGATCGAAAAAATTGTTTTTTGGTTAAAACTCTTCACATTTATATAAAAATTACAGAATTTGACGGTTTTTCACTCAAAACTTATTTTAACGCTTAAGGAAAGCATGTTGTCGTTTAAAACTTTTTTTAAAACTCCAAAAATGACCACAAAATTTTTTTTTAAGTTGATAACTTTTAATTGGCCAGAAAGAGGATTCTCCACAGCTTCTAGAACACTTATCAAAAATTTTAACTCTTAACAAAGTTTTAAATGTTAAAAAAAATTTTATTTTTTTCCAAAAATTTTCTGTTTTTATAATCTACAAATTGTACCAAAAAGTTAAGGCTAAGTACAAAAAAATATATTTTTCGCTCCACCCTAATATATATAATATACATATATATATATATTGGTATAGGTGTGTTCCAACACACAATGAAAGTGTTCCGCCTGTTGCTTTTCCCCTTTTCTTGCTTTTTTCACAACTTAATTTTTATTGAAGCTCCCTAAAATGCACCTCTGTGGTTGTTATTGGGTTTTTCGGTTGTGCGCTTTTCTGATGGATGCTAGACGCCTGTCGGTACATGACGACTGTTACATGTGCTCATACATACCTAAGAGTGCCCCCGATAAATACCATGACAAGCCTATTAAGTAAAGGGGTACATAAAAGCTATGTTTTCGTATGATTTATGGCTGTGCGTGTGAGTGTATGCCAGCGGCAGAGTGTGGGTGCTGCTTATGCGCTTATGCGCGGGGTGCAAATGTTAAGTGTTGAAAATATGACAGCCAATTTGTTTTCAGCATTTTTGCTACTTAAAAGAAGAAAGTCGAGATAGTTTTTATGTTTTCAAACGCAATTATGCCGAGACAGACATACACACATACAAGTGAGTGTGTGTGTGTGTGGGTGCATGTGCGTAATTTTCGGGGCCTGGAAAGAAATACAGCTAACAAATGGCGTTTTGTGACGTCCCACAGTGCCTGTGCAAGGAGGCGTTCGAAGTGTGGTCGGTGATTTAAATATGCCAACTGGTCGAGTTGTTAAACATTTATCTATATGCGTATTCGTTTGTTTGTGTCTGTGTGTGCATATGTGCAAGTGTTTTATATTGGCCAGGTGTTGTGTGAATAAGGCGTAATTATTTTTACAAGAAATTAAATATTTATAAATAATTGACATTTACGCTTTTACTAGCTGCTTAGTGGAGTTGCTCTTCTCATCATTAGTGTTGTTTAGCTGAGTGTTATTTGATAAATGGTGAGTCTTACAAGTTTTAAGTATTTCTAAACAGGTGATAAATGTTATGAGAAGTTATTTTATTATTAGTTATGAAAATAAGGGAGGTTTTGCGGAATGGTGATTTCAAATTCACGATGATTGCCGTCAAAAAAATTTTAAAAAATATTTTATAAATTTTATTCACCCTTTAATTTTTTTTTTTAATATTGCTAACAATGACTGGAGCTTACTCGTTTATGAAAAAAAATTTTTTTTTTCCAATTCGAATTCCTCTGAAAATGTATTATCCAAGAGGGAAAATCCCGAAAAATTGTATTCCTGTTATAATGAAGAGGTTGGTTCATCCAATTAGGAATTTCAAAAATCTAAAAAAATGTAGCATAAAGTAAATTTAAGAATGTTTAGC